GCTAGAGAAGCCAGATTGAGATGGTTTGGACATGTGCAGAGGAGGGACAGTGGATACATTGGTAGAAGAATGTTAGAGATGGAGCTACCAGGTAGGAGACAAAGAGGAAGACCAAAGAGGAGATATATGGATGCAGTGAGGGAGGACATGCAGATAGTTGGAGTCAGAGTAGAAGATGCAGAGAACAGAGAGAGATGGAAATCAATGATTCGCTGTGGCAACCCCTGAAAAAAGAAACAAAGCCGAAAGAAAAAGAACACTACAGTGTATAATATAGTACGTTATGGTATAGTATAGTATAGTATAGTATAGTATAGTATAGTATAGTATAGTATAGTATAGTATAGTATAGTATAGTATAGTATAGTATAGTATAGTATAGTATAGTATAGTATAGTATAGTATAGTATAGTATAGTATAGTATAGTATAGTGTAGTGTAGTATAGTATAGTGTAGTACAATGTCATGGACAAAGAAGATTGGTTTGGTGCACTTCACCAGCTGGGAAGAACAGTGACCTTTGTGGAGCAGTGATTACAGTATTTATGAGTCTCTGAGGTAAAACCACAGTAAGGCCAGAGGTGCTGCCTTTGCTGCAGCAGCAGCAACAGCATCGGCAGAGGTGGTGATGGTGGTTGGAACAAAGAGTGGTTAGAGTACGTTACTGGGGGCAGCGTCATAAAAAGTGTCAGGGGTTAGGAACAAAGCTAAAAAATGACAATATATCAGAGAGAGCTAATAATACACAAGAAAAAACAGGTACAGTTTTGCATACTACAGTACAGTATACCCTTGTTTATTTTTGTGAAGCATATATTGTGTATCATACAGCATTAGTGTAGTACAGTAGAACACGGTGTAGTATATTATATTATTGCATAGCATAGCATAGCATAGCATAGCATAGCATAGCATAGCATAGCATTGCAGTATTGTCTGCTCATGATGTTAAATACCCAGGAGTTTCTGATTCGCGGCTGTCTCCATTTAAAAAAAAAGTTTATTTATTTATTTTATTCCTTTAGAAACAAACAAAAAAAACTTTCTTAAACGTCATTGGCTCTCCCTTTAATACATTTCTGTAGTCCCACCTGGGGGAGAAGGTGGACACAGTAACATCCTCAACACGACAAATGCACTGGAGGATATTTTTTCCATCAACCCTACTCCTTGTTTCTCCATTTGCCTGTGAGCCTGGATCCCCTCTCTTCTTCTGCTGGGTGAACAGCGCCCTCTAACGGCTACATGGAGCGAAAGCTCCACAGCCAACAAGTGACCTCAATTATCAGTCTGACAGCATGTGTGACTGCAGTGAGAAATAAAGGGGCAGTCTGTCCAAAATCTACTGAAGACGAGTGAAGATGTGATGCTGTTTCCTGACACTGACAACCAACATCCTTATAGTCACTGTAGTCCGGCTAATGGCCTGTCTGTGACACCAACACAGTTTCAATGGCCCTGGACTTTTTAATTCAAATATTTTTATGCTGCCTGTTTTAAAGGTTGGATATTTTGCTTTTACTGGAGCATGTTTTTATTATTGATTTATTATTGTTTTGTTTATTTGGTTAATTAATATTTGCTAAAATTGCTGCTGCTAGTACTGCTACTACTCCTTCTACTTCTACTTTTATAATATAAAATGTATTGTACTTTAATGCTACAAATTATTATCTGTACAGTATATATAATTGTTTGCTAACTTTCACCATAGTAAGACCACCCTTAAGAAACATGTTTTTTTGTTTGTTTGTTATTCAGCCAAAGATACAGCAACATCAGCTTTACTGCACATATGAAGATTGCATGTACTGGCCTCTAGTGGTCAACATGTAGAACGAAAAATGTCAGCAATAGCTGAAACTGAAACTTGCTATGTAAATAAAGGATACAAGCATTTACTAACAAAATATCAGGGGAAATAGCACGGAGCATAGTGAAGGCCAGGAGTTGCTAAAGGTAAACCAAAATTAAAGAACTAGCCCTGGAAACTAGATTTAAGATTATTAAACTAAATTATTTGCATATTTCTTTTGCTTTGATTAAACATTGATAACACCAAATATTTTTAGTTAACAACTTTCTTCCAAGATTCTTTTGATAGTAATTTTGACAAATCTTTAGCTAATCTCAAGACAAATCTCTGCAGCCAAATTCAATCAAAGGAGCAGATTTTTTTTTTTTTTCATGATGAAATTCTATTCAAGTACTTGTTTCCATGAGTCCATCAAACCAGCAGGGCTGGTTATGGATCGATGCACAGCTCTGTAGTTTAAAATAAACTTCAGCAGTGATTTAAGACAAATTGGAACTATATATTTCCACTGTTGTCACTGTTGTTACAGACAGATGGAGAAGAAGAACAACAGGGAGAGGCTTCTCTGCTGTGTTGTGTTTTGCTGTAGTGGTGATGAGGCTGCAGTCCTGTCACTGTGGGTGTGGGAGTTCTCAGCTTTGCAGGGGCGTGGTCCTGCGTTGTCTGAATCAGCACCAAGGTCAGCAACAACTATGCACAGTACTTTTACCCCACAACACGTTCAGAAAAGTGTGGATTTAAGCAGTGCTCAGATAAAATGTGTGCTTGTGGAATTTCAAATCATTCAAGCAACTGAGAGGTGTTACTACAAAATATTACAACTTATTTGTACGCCTTTTCACCCATTTTACAATGATGGTCCAGAAAACCAAACATTATAAGCAAGTAAATGTATTTTAATGTCTATTAAGCTTAAGTAGCTAAGAATTAGCTTACCTGGCTCAGAATATCGAAAAGCTAGCCTCACTAAACAACAACAACAACCAAAATCTAGATTGGATACATCATGGAAAAAGAAAAGTCAAGTCAAATTTTCACAAAAAAACATGTAGTAAAAATAGCTTTTTATTGATAAACTAGCCACAAAATGGGTATGACCAAAAGAAGCTAAAAGCTGAACAAATAAGTTGAAGCTAAAAGATAGCAAAAAGTTAGCCCACAAATGGTTACATATAAGCCAAAATATACCAAAAATAATCATCATGGTTTCTACAAAAGAAATTATATATTTGGATGGTTTAAAAGAGTTGCCTATAAATAAATTAAATGAACTAAAATGTAACTGAAAGTGACGTGCAAACTAATAACAGGTCAGACTTGAATATGCTGTTTAAACCAAATAAGGATTACATATATACGTATATATATTATGTATATAAAATTGATTACCTGATGATTTATGTCTGACTTGAGTTTCAATCCAAATGTGTAAAAAGTGGATGTAAGTAAGCTGATACGAATAGGGAATTACAACTACTTCTCCTCCTGCATCACTGAAGTGTTGGTGATGCTCCACCTCCGCGGTGAGACAGAGAATACAGGGATGATGAAAGAATCGGGCCGGTCTCATCCTGTATTCTGATATTGCAGAGAGGGTGAGGGCGGCTGCTGGATGCAGACTGCTGCAGCTGAAACACCCCTCTTCAGCGCACAGCTCCGCTCATCGATCCCAACTGCCATTCTGCTGTGGTGGCAAAGAAAAAAAAGCTGCAGTGACAGTGGACAGAGTGGACCAATAGTAACATGAGACGGTCCAGTGATGTGACAGAATCAACTTACACATGTGGTTTTACTACGACGGAATTATTTCTGCAGTTCTTGACAGTTCTTGAGAGAAAAAAAATATTTTTCACAACTTAAAAAAGAGGGGGTAATATGGATTTCCCCATGTCTCGTGTGACCCCTGTGGGCCATATAAATGCACAAAGCAAAGAGCAAATACCTGGGTGGAGTCAGAGAGAAATCTTAGAGGCAGTGTCTGTTTTTTAAATAATACACAAAATTTTGTTTTTATCAATTATAAAATGTTATAAATAATTTATGGATACACTTATCCTTAAAGTGTCTAAAGTTCAAATGCTGTCACTCTTTTACTTATTAAACTAACACACAGCCTGTAGCATCATCATGCTTTTGCCTTACTGCTATGCAGGCTAACACGCCAACATACGCCTCTAGTGGCCCATAAAAATAACGCTACCTGCCTATAATTCTAAAGTTTCTTTCCATGTGTCTTTTTTGGGGGGTGGGGTGGGGGTGGGGGTTCTCATTTCTCCACAGCTCTGTAAAATGTCGGTCGATGGCCCTGTCCTCCACAGGGTGGAGACTTTCTGCACAGGATTCTGCAGGTTTGCTCTGATCTGCTGCTGCCTCTGCGTCAGATGATGCGCTGCTGCCTACTCTGTATAAAAGCACCTGTCCCGCTCATGCAGCCCCGCATCTCACTGTGTCTCTCTCACACGCACGCACATTCCCACACTCACCCTCACGCACCTCTAAGATCCACTCACAGTCTCTTTCCTGTGCATAGCAGTGGGACAGCGCAAAGTTGAAGGAACCATGAGTTACTCCGGTGAGATTTACACCAGCAGCTCCTACAGGAAGATCTTCGGAGATGCGCCACGCTCCGGACGCGTGGGTCTGGTTGCGGGCAGCAGCCCGTCCCGCCTTCAGTCTGCGGGATTCCGCAGCAGCCACAACCGCACCTACGGCTCCCCGTCCTCGTTGTCCTCCACCAACTACCGCAGGACAGCGGCTCCCGGCCGCGTCTTCTCCTCCTCCATGATCCCGGACTCCTCCATGGACCTGACCCAGTCCACTGCGGTCACCAACGAGCTCAAGATCATCCGCACTAACGAGAAGGAGCAGCTGCAGGGTCTCAACGACCGCTTCGTGTCCTTCATCGAGAAGGTGCACAACTTGGAGCAGCAGAACAAAGTGCTGGAGGCGGAGGTGACGCTCCTGCGCCAGCGCCACAACGAGCCGTCACGTCTGCATGATCTGTACGAGCAGGAGATCCGGGAGCTGCGGGCCCGCGTGGAAGAGCTGAGTCACGAGAAGAGCCAGATGCACCTGGACTGTGTGCAGATGAGCGACACCCTGGAGAGGGTGCGGGAGAAGCTGGAGGAGGAGAGCAGGATGCGGGAGGAAGCTGAGACCGCGCTGAAGGTCTACCGCAAGGACGTGGACGACGCAACACTGGCCCGCCTGGAGCTGGAGAAGAAAGTGGAATCGCTGCTGGACGAGATCGCCTTTCTCAGGAAAGTTCATGAGGAGGAGCTGCAGGAGCTGCAGACGTCTCTCCAGGCTTCGCAGGTACAGTCCAAACACCGGTTTTCTCCTTTATGTTTATTGTATTATTTTTCATGGGTTCATAATCTGGATCTTAAAATGCTGCTCAAATTGACCTTCAACATTTCCAAAAACTAACAGTACAACAAGTCCGGAAGTAATGTTTTCCTTCTAGATATATATAGATGTCTGTTAATGCTGATTAATCATCTGTTGCAGCATCACTTGTTGGATATACAAACAAGTGAAGGAGAAATTCATACAAATCTTGACACTTCTAATTGAAATCCACAATTTACATTCTAACTCACCTTGAACACTGAATGTTGAAGGGATTCGATATTGGATATTATTTTAATATTTCCTGCAACATTTGACGAGTCGTGTCAGTTTTGCTGCCTTTTCTGAAAATGTTTCAGAAATGCAGCACCATCCTGTTTTCTTTCCTTCTTTCTTGCTGAATCAGGGACATTTGAGTCAAACTAGAACCAATTAAATTGACCAATATAATGTATTTTGAATTTTTCTCTGAACATCACGGTACTAAATCCTAAAATGTGAGTTTAGAAATGAACAGATTTAATGTCTGCAGTAGGACGGTGACTTAATGAGTTTGCAAAATATTTTCTATAAGTCTCTTTGTGCAAAATATGCTCAGATTGTTGATGTTATACTAGATAAAATAATAATAATAGAAATAAAATAAGAAATAAAACAAAAGTGAGACGCTCGTCTGGACCCGCCCCTTTGTAGCGCAAAGGCTCCCCTTTCTCCTCCAACTCCTTCTCCTCCTCCTCTGGCAGGGTGAACATTCCGCACTGGATAAGTGATGGCACTGCAGTTCCGTTTCAGCACCAGGCGCTGTCCCTCCCTTCTCCTCACCCCTCCCCCTTCATCCCTACCCCTCCAATTCACGTCACGACACCAAACGCCATCCCGACCCCACTGCCCAACTTCTTTGTAAAATTTAATCACTAAAGTACTTTTTTTGCTCAAAACGCTCCAAAGGTCAATCACTTCTCTTCTTCTTCTTGTGTGCCAGAGCGAGGCGGG